AATTTCCCTGTGGGAATTAAGACCTGGCAATACTTGCTAGTCCCAGGGGAAAAAGAAAATAATAAAAAAAATTATATTTTAAATATTTAAAGATCCCTCAAAAGTCTCTTTTATTATTTCACTGTCCAAACTTGTCTGACGTTTCCGCGTTTGCCAGTTCAGGTGTCACCAGTGGGGCCAGCGTCGGGGCCAAACTGGTTAAACGCTTCGGAGGTGCCCCAGCAGCTCTGACCCCCCCACTGGACACAGGTCCTCTGCGCCCTGCCGTGCCCACCGCACGCCCCACGCCGGGCCCCGGCACAGCAGCGGAGGCTGGTCCTCCCCACTGCCCCAAATCCGCCCATTTCCTTCCGCCAGGAAGCTCTGGGTCGGCAGGGGTTTCTCTGAGCTGCTGCGCCTTCGCCATCGCGGGCAGGGCTGCATCCTAGTGCTCCTGACGCATCACTCTTCAAGGCTTCATTTGGCTTCTTATTCCTGGCTTTTCCAATTTTTGTCATTATTATTGCTGCTGTTATTGTTAACATTATTATTATTTAATAATTTCAACTCTGGCTGTTACTTTGTTTTCCTAAGGAGGAGCAGTGGTTTCTGCCTCCTGCTTCCTTTAGGTGGAGTGAGCTGCCCAGCTCAGGGCTCGTTTGCCTTTCCAGAGCTTAAACGACGGAGTATGTGAAATACGTCTGGGATTTGTTACCGGTAGTTAGCGGCTACCCAGTCAATTTTAGCCTCACTGAGTGACAGCACATACGCAATCTGTGCAAATGCTTTCATAAATCAGATTTGGGGGGGGAATACCAAAAATAGAAAGGCCCTTCTTGCATTGTTTCATGTTAAGGAAATTCAATTGCAAGTGGAAAGGTCCATCCATTTGTGAGAATAATAAAGTATTTCTGGTTTTAAGTGTGAGATGTTTACAGCTAATGTAAAAGGAAAAAAAAAACCAACTATCTTTATTGCAAAAAACCCTGGAAAAAAGGTCATATTTTCTCTTAATAAAACTTATGTCCAGACATCAAAAGGGTCAAAAGTACATTACACTCCGAGTAATGCTCTTTTTAAAAAAGAAATGCTGGGTTGCTAAAGGTTCAAAATTGTAAAATCAGAAAAAGAAAGAGAACTCAGAGACAATGAAACTGCTCCTCCCGCTCCCCATGGCCATGCCTGCCCCAGTCCCCTCCAGCCCCGCGGCCAGTGGTGATGTGCGGGAAGACGCCTTCAGGCACGGCAAACGGTGATGGAGGGGCTGAAAGTGAATACAGCGTCTGCTTTTTACGTAGAAGGGGACTAATAATTGAAGATAATATGGAAGAAAGACCGAGAAAGTGAGAACGGGCCATGCTAACAGGCAGAGCAATGTGTTTGCTTACGAAGCCGCCGGCCAGTTCCTGTTAACTCCCTGGAAGTGAGAACTAAGCTGGATTCAAGCTTCAGTGGAAACAGGATTTGCCCCAGAGAGGTACCTAAAAATAAACCGGAGCTCTGCACAGAGAAGAGGCTGTGAAGCTGGTTATACGAAATGCTACACTGGTGTTCGGAGAAGGCCTGCTGCAGCAGAAAACAGTGGTTATTAACAAAGTCAGAGCACTATTTTATTTTCAGCTAACTACTTCGTTTAACCACCTTTCGCAGCCCACCAGCGTGGGTGGCTCAGGGCCCCGCTCGCTGCTGCGCGAGGCCCTGCCTCTGCCCGCTGGGGCTCCCGCGGCGAGAGCCACCTTCCCACCCCTCGGCCCCCGCGCGCTC